TTTGCTTTGTCAATTACTCTGGGAAGTTTCTTAAACATTCCACACTATGAAGGGGGGTCCGTCAATAATTTTGTCATTCTGTCACTTTCGTCATGCACTCAGATGCTCTGATTATATGTATGTACAAGTTTAAAGTACTCATGATGTCTTCCTAATAAAAAATCATTTTCTATTGTTGGTCATAATGATTTTCGCTTTCATGTCTATTATTCCATTTATTCAGACCAAAATCCAAGCCCTAAATCTGGGATGTCCTTTTTCCCATGCCTCAAATCCAATGTGTTAGCCAATTCTACCTTCCGAGTATACCCAAAACTTAATTTCTTTCACTCTCCACTGTTACCAACAAGTTCACATCACGATTTTTTTTTGCTTTCTATCTGCCATTATTTAAGCGTACTATTTCATATTCATTACCATTTCATTCAGAGAAGTTCGACAAACTTCTCTGTCGCCTGCTGCTCTGCAGTAAATTACATCCCCGTGTTCGCTCTAATTTGGATTATGACCTCATGTTCTGTGAGACTTTATCTCTGACCGTACCATCTGGGTTGAGGGTATATCCCTCCAGGGATATTTTGTTTTGCTTTAACCAGGTGCTCTAAATGTGTAAGTAACTAGGGACCACTTTTTATGTTAATTTCAAAATCACACAGGAAATTAAAACACCTCGCCCATTTGTGGATGAGTCATAGATAAGGTACTGTCAAGAGATTTTTCTCTTTCCAAAGTCTAGGCTGTGGTCAAGATTTTTGTCACCTACCTTTGCAGGTGAGGAGCTTTCCTTCCTAAACCACCCTCACCCAGCTTCGTGCTATAAATTCAGACTCAGGAGGAATGCCCAGTCACAGAAGGAAGCCATTTCTCCTTTCCCTGAATGGCGGTTCAAACCTCAGCTCTGGTCAGCAAAAGAGACAGCGGCATATCCTCCCGAAAAACTGTAACCTACCACTCTGATTCAAGTGTGTCCTGCAAAGTTTCCGTGTTCAAAGTGATGGGCTCAAGAGGGTGTAAACCTAGCCCAACTATGAGGCTGGACGAAGGGGCCTTTAGGAGATTCGGACCGTCGGGTGGGAAGACAAATGACACCGAGATCGTTGCTTCGTACCTGCTGTCTCGCCCGCCCTGAGGTCCAGCCAGAAGACCCTGGCCGGCTGTGGTCCCTCGACTGGGACTTCCAAACCCATGAGCTCAGCAAAGCGCTGCTGTCATTGGTTTCCCAGGCTAGCACGTGTGCTACGTGACACACGACGGGCAGAGACACCTCCCCACTTTCTGTCACTGGTTGTAGTTGCTTTCTGTGACCGACATGTGAACAGGGCACTTTATGTCCTGCACACGAGTCTAGGCATGGTAGGGAGAGAACTTCTCCAGGAACTACAAGAGCGTATGGATACAAAGTGTGCTTATGTTTTAAACTTGATAAAAGTGAAGACATACATACTTCACTGTAGACAGTCTGGGGGAGGGCAAAAGCATGCACTTCCTCAGACTAGCTCAGCTCCTTAATGATGCTCAGGTATGCGGCGCTCGCTGCCATGCACTCCTCCACATGTTGGCGTTGTTTGTTTTGTTGGTTCTGTTTTTTAATTTACTACAGAGAGCGTGTGCTGCCCTTCACCCGTCAGTGGCTTCCCATCTTAGATAAATGAGGCTGCAATTCATTCTCAATTTCTGGCCAAGTTCCACATAATCTAGAAACGCTTCCTCGTGGTGTCGCTGACCCACACTCTGCCCCCTCACGCTCCTGCCCCCACCCCGGCCATCTGCGCGGATCTTTGAGTGAGTCAGACACAGCCATGGCAGAGCCTTCATCTTACTGCACATTCTTCCCCAGCCTGTTCGTTCAAGTCTTCACATAAATATCGCCTGTTACAGAATCTTTCTCAGGCCATCTGGTGGTATGGTGGTTAGGGTGGCTGGATCCCACATGGTGGACACCCCAGTTCAAGCCCCAGCCCAGGCAACTTGAAAAACATGCCAGGCACGTGTGCTTATATGCCCAAAATCCTGAAAGGAGAGAGAGAGATGGAGAAGAGATTGTGGTGTGGCTACTCCCCATGAAGAGGTGAGGGCCCTCTGGCAAAAATAAAATAAGATAAAATGAAATGAAATTAAAGATGGGTCTCTCAGAACCAGCAGATGGCATAATGGCTATGTTGCTGGACTCCCACATAGTTGACCGCAGTTCAAGCCCCGGACCTGGAGGCTTAAAACTCACACTGGGCATGTGTGCACGTGTGCCCAAAATCCCAAGAGGAGAATAGAGGAGAAGGGATTGCGGCACGGCCGTTACCCTGGGGGTGGGGTATTATCTCTTGCTTTCTGTCTCTCTGTCTCTCCAGTAAGCTCACACTCCCTATAGCAAAACTCTCTCTCTAAAGACCAAACCGAACCAAAATGAAATGAGAGAATGTCCTCTAAGCCGCCCTTATAGTACCGCCCACTGCCGAATCTCCTCCCTCTGCTGCCTCTCGTCCATACGCACGCAGCAACACGTGCCGTGTTACATGTGTTAGCGTGGTTCTCTCCCCATCACTCATCAGAACATAAACTCCACCAGCACGTGGAAACCTGCCGTTGTAGCCCAGCACTGGGAACAGGACCCGGCACATAGCAGCTATAAAATTCGTATTTGCCCAGTGGTTGAATAAATGAGTTGCATAGATATGAAAGGAAGGCAAACCCCTCAGTGGGAATTGGTGAAAGGCCTCAAAAAGGCAAACAGAAAAATAAATAGCAGTGGCCGATAACACATATAAAAAGATAACCTAACTTAGTCAGAGAATTATAAATGAAGAATAACATCACCGTGCCACGTACGGCCTCCCCAGTGGACAGATATTCAAACACTGAATGAAACCGTTCTCAAACCATAGCGCACTAAGTGCCCGCTATCATTCAGTGCGGGCGGAAGTGATAATTCCTACAATCTCTTTAAAGGGAAATGTGGAAAAATTTATCAAAATCAAATGTGCCTACCATTCTGCCCAGCAATGATGAAGTGCCTGGTACTGGGCCGGCCCTCGCAGTGAAAGCAATAGAAAAGGCAGGATAGCTAGGCCTGCCTGCTCCGGGCAGGGCAGGCCACCGCGCAGGCCAGGCCGCCGGGAAGAGGAAGTGGAGGCGGTGGGG